CATCACATGTCCTTCCGGACGCTCCTTCGTCGAAATCGCCGGCCGCGCCGTTCTCGAGTCCACCCGCCTCTGCTCATTCTAACCCTCCCGCTGTTCCTCCCGCTAGCCCCCGGCCTCTGGTCACTGTAGGCCGCTGTGTGACGCTGTTTCATTGTGAAAGCGAAACTACTTTGTTTGGCCTTCCAAAAATGGACACGACTAGAAATCAGTGGTTAAGTTGTATTTACAACACTGTTCCAGAACACTTCAACCCAAATATTCAGATGTGTGCAGCACATTTTATAGAGAACTGTTTCCTGGGAGAGTAGACTACAATGCCGGCTGTTATGACTCAAAGACTGTAAGTACGTCTTTTATATTTAAAGAGTTTTTATTTTTTATATATTTAAAACAAGTTTTTTGGGCAGTGCAGTAGCTTGTAGTTTGTCATTTCTCAGATCACAAATGCAGACATGGTTTTATGTTTACGCGGCGCGATGCAAGCAACCTGTAAAAAGACAGTACAAGTCATTATAATCCATAATTATGTCCCCACTGGATGCAACGAATGCTTCGTTTATAATGGGTTTTCATGTTTTTGAATCATCGCTCCGGCCGGACTGGGCATCACAGTATGGTAAGGGGCGTAACATTTCCGTCACACGCTTGAGATATTCGGCCAATCACAACGCACTGGATAGCTGACCAATCACAGCACACCTCGCTTTTCAGACCGATGAGCTTTGTAAAAATCGACGCGTTTCAGAAAGGCGGGGCATAGAGGAGAAACAATAATGTACAGTATGTGGAAAATAATGTGTTTTTTTACTTTAAACCGCATAAACACATTTCATTACACCAAATACTATTCTTTTTAGCAGCATCATACGACCCCCTTTTAAGTTACCTTACTATCGACGCCGCCATTGTGACTATAGCAAATATATCCCATTATATCATACCTGAAACGAAAGCGAAATAACTGCCTTAACTACGGGTTGCTTCGTCACGGTATGTATTTGTCTCATCTGTTTATTTAGAAATATGTGGAAAATAAATAATCATGACAAAACAAAAAAGTATACAGTGGTTCCTACGAAAAGTCACTAGTCACAGAAGTCGCTATGGTTTGTTGTTAAAAAAAAGTAGTCGTGACAGACGCAACGTATGACAAGTGAAAGTGATTAATGTCAACATTTTCCTGATCATGACAAAACAAAAAAGTATACAGTGGTTCCTACGAAAAGTCACTAGTCACAGAAGTCGCTATGGTTTGTTGTTTAAAAAAAAGTAGTCGTGACAGACGCAACGTATGACAAGTGAAAGTGATTAATGTCAACATTTTCCTCAACATTTTACAAAGCAAATAGTAAACAAAACAAAAACGTGTCTGCTGGGTCTAATAAAGTGTTGAATATTTTTCTTTTAAAGCAACTTTTTGCGACGTCAATAACTCATGCTGTCATGTTTAACTTAAGTGCTTAATAGGCTTAAGTTTATTAACTAGCCTACTTAACTAGCTCAATTTAGGCGAACGAAATGTCCAAGATTTGATGAAAAACAGCTCTTAAAGGTTTTCACATTGGCTGTAAAGACATGTTATGTTTTTCTTCCGTCTACAACAGTGTTCTCTGTCCACAGGTTCTTGCGTTGGTAGAAATGTCTACTGAGGTAAAGGAAGTGTTCTGGCAAATTTTTTGCATTCGAGTCTCTATTCAGTAAAATGACCGTGTTTGTCATTTTGTCTGTCCACTCAGGATTTCAGTCTTATGGATGGTCAGTCTTTGGGATGTCTGGACCATGTACTGAGGGAGATCAACAAATACAAGGTGTGTGAGTGGCTCATAAACCGGGATACTTGTCAACCAGAATACAAACCATTAATCCTTATGTCCTCTCATCTGTCCAGACACAGCATGAAGCATTGTTGGCAGAACAAAAAATACTGAGAGATGGCATAGATAACAACAACAACTTTGCCAAGCAATTTCAAAAACGTTCTGAGGGGAGGAAAACATCAATTGAGGATGAAAAAAAGAAACGTACTATGATAATTCAGAAAGAGAAGGTATGTATAAATAAAAATACAGACACTCATTTTATGCCCTAATCCAAAGACTTTAAAAAATCTGTGGTAATTGGTCCCTGTGTGCAGGAGAAATGCAGAGCTGTACAGAATGAGAACACCAAGCTGCAGGTGGAGATTCTGAAAGTGAAGGAGGAATTGCATAGCCTGGACCAAAGAAACACAAGTCTGAAAAAGCAAACTGAGGTTTACGGAGTCAAAATAAATATATTCATCCTTATTTTAGCTGCAGTCACTGGGCTGAATGGGCTGTGTGGCTCTACAATATATCGGTACAATATATGTTGAAATACTTTTTAATAATAATCTAAACTTTTTATATATTTTCCCTTGTATTAATATAAATTTGAACTTAAAACTTCAATACTTAATTTGGACACATTATCAACTGTGAGACTAACAAGGCTCCACACTGACTCCACAGATCTCTACAGCGGTGCCTGAGAGGAGGGTTGTGTTTCGAGGAAATACAAAAGAGGGAGCGCATGCTGTGAGTTTTGATGTGAATCCCCGTATAGTTTATCCAATGGAGGGTGGAACAGCACTGATCACCTTTGAGGAAGAGGATGGTATGTAATGATCCAAACTAGCATCATCACAATAAGAAACAACATCAAAAGTGCTTAAAGGTTCAAAGAACTCAAGGAACTGAAGGGCTTAAATACACTAAAACAAAGGAGATGATTTACTAAACAACAGGTGAACAAAATGAGTAATTAAACAGAGCAAGAAACTATAGGTCAAATGGCAAAACAAAGACGACAGAACCAAAACACAATGAAAACATAAACAAAACAGAATATAAGTGTAACAAAGTTTTTGACACCAGAAACAACATTGACTGCAAGGCACTGCATTGTCCACAAAGATATTGATACTTCCTAACCCTATAAGTTAAGGTCCCCATCTTAAAGGGGTCATATGATGCTTTTTTAAAGATCATTATTTTGTGTATTTGGTGTAACAGAATATGTTGACATGATTTAATGTTCAAAAAACACATTCTTTTTAAAATACTGTACATTATTGTAGGTCCTCTATGCCCCGCCTCTCTCAAACGCTTCGTTTTCTACAAAGTCCCTCCTTCCGACAAGCGCAGTCTGCTCTGATTGGCCAGCTGACCCAGTGCATTGTGATTGGCCGAACACCGCAAGCACTCGTCGGAAATGTAACGCCCCTTACCATAATCGCGAGCTTCATCTTTCAGAATAAATGTAAAGACAGTAAATAATGTCATTAGTTTTACCATCAGTTCAAGCCCGAAAGGGGAACAGACACAGTAATGATGCAGTACACAAGCTGCGGTTAAGACAGCTGACTCTACTGTGATGTGACGCTGTCTCTCTCACTCTCTCACACACACGCACGCGTGCGCGCACACACACACCCACACACACACACACACACACACACGAGCCGTTTTAGGGGGGCGTGGCAGAGTCTTAACTTTGATAAAGAATATCTTTTTGGTTTTGAGACTTTAGTCTTTGCAACTTCAGGGATCTTATCTATGCACAGCTTGTAACACTCCAAAGAGAAAGGAAAACTTGAAATCGCATCATATGACCCCTTTAACTTATTTTAATATATCATAGTTTCTTTAAATTAGTAACTAATAGTAACTAAAATAACTGATTGAGTTTATATTTTAATTTAAGTTTTAGGACCTGTGGCCTGTAGCACGAAGCGAAATGAACAAACTCAAGAGTTTCAGAGTAAGTTTAGAGTTGACAAAACCAAACAAATCTAACCTGGTTTAGATCAGGTTCAGCAGGCTCACAAAGCTCGATATAAATGTTCTCAGTCAACTCAGAGTTTAATTCAGAGTTTGTGATTATAAGAATATATTATATAAGTTATAAACAATTATAATTGAAAAGTCTGGCAATTTTGTCTCAAAAATTATTTGACTCTAAACTGTTTTAATTTGAAGCTAGAGATGGAGGAGTGGCTTTATTGCATCAGATATATGTCACTTTGCTCACAGCTGATTGGTCCAGCTTGGGTTTGTGATCTCTAACTCAGAATAAAACCTGCTCCGGAGCAGGGTAGCCGTGGTGTAAGTTACCATGGTGACGAAACCCACTCAAAACCAGCCCACCTTCTTGAGCCCGAAAACTCAGAGTTTGCTCAAACTAAATGCGAACTTACGTGGGTCAAAACTGAAACCGGCTTCGTGCTACAGGCCACTGGTCTTCAGCGATCCCATGCTTTTTAACCAATGCATTTACATGACTCTTCCAGTTGTTTGTGAAGTATAGAAAAAAAAATTCTAAATTTATTAAAATATTTTTTACTCAAGATTTCTACCTGATTAAATATTTTAGAGCTTGGCATAGACAGAAAAATGTATATACATTATAAAAATGCCCATCACTTTTTAAGATTTTATCAATTTAAACAAACCTTCTTTCTGTAGAAACCTTGGTTCCTCAAATAAGAAAAAAGGTTGTTGAGGGGTTGTAATAAAATAAGAAAATTATCTTTTTTTATATTGTTTTTAATATTATGTTTTAAATAGATTTAGGTCATCTTGAGGCCCCATTGGAAGTTTGCTGAGGACCCCTAGTGGGTTATGAACCACTGCCATAGATTTTTACAGATTTTTTAGTATCATTAAAATGACTGTAACACATAAGCCTACCAGGGCTTCTTGTAGCTTATTGCTTTATTAAGTTCTCTTCAAATATCTTCTGATACTACATCTTAGTGGCTCAGAAAATCTTGAACCTAAAGGATCATTTGGTGCAACTTGGGGACTGTACCATCACCGTGCAGGCTAAACCCATTCAGTTCCTGGTACCCAGTTATGTTGAGGTAATAGAGACAAGCTGACATCCGTTTACAAACATGGATTGTATATTTTGGATTGCATTGTGTTCCTATGGACATGATATAAAACAACACTCTGTTTATCTCTCCATCTGTTAGATGGAAACACAGGTGTGCTCACGCAGAATCCTAGTCTCCAACCTGCCAAAGGAAGAACCTGAGGATAGAGTACTAGACAAACTATACATACATTTCTCTAGGAAGAAGAACGGAGGCGGCGAGGTGGAGGACAGAGACATGCTACATGACTCTGGCACTGTGGTCATTACCTTTGTAGACGATAATAGTAAGTTAACTAAATTCATTCAGTCCGACACATCTGTGCAAGATGCTTGAGGTGTTTTTTTATTTTTATTCTGTTTTTCTATTTGTCTTCAGTCGCCAAATGTCTCTCCGACAAACAAGATCATGAGGTAGACTTTGGTAAGAAGAAGTACAAGGTGAAGGTCACTCCATTCCTCAATGGCGAGATTTCACAAATGAAGGTAAGAAGAGTGGAGTATGTCACAATTTCAACCGTTAATGCTGGGTTGTTTATGATGTAAACTGACTGTTGCTCCCTTTCAGATCTGTAACTCAGTGTGCATGCGCACAGTGCTGCTGACGGGCATCCCTGACATCATGGACAAAGATAACCTGCAGGACAACATGGAGATCCACTTCCAGAAGATGGCCAATGGTGGCGGAGAGGTGGAAGGTATCATGTACAACCCTCCAGGCCACACCACCCTGGCTTTGTTTGATGAGGACTCTCCTAAAGACAGCTAGAGCGTGTGAGAACGCTAAAAAACCTCTACAGCCCAGAAATTGAATACTGCCTTTAGACAACAAAACAGATCATTAATTCATAATAGACTCTATACAACTCCTGATTTGGGTCTATTTTTCATAAAGTTATATAGTATGGATCCCTTCACCTCTTATTTACAGTAATCTTGACCTCTTTACCTATTATAGAATATACGTTATATAGTAATATACTTAATTAATGGATACACTTAGTTGTATTTCTTGTCTTTTGATGATGAAAGATCCGGTCAAATTGGGTTATGGCTTATGGAGAACAAAGTCTTTAATAAATGCTAACCAAAACTATCATTGTGATGTTTACGATACACTAATAGGAATCTCGTGAAATTAAATACAAACACAAAAGAAAAGAGAAAATATATTCTGTACAATAAAAGAGAAGGTTATTTTTAAGACCTTTTTTTTTTTACATAACACATTTGTTTTACATTTGTTTGATTTAGATTTTTTTGTTTTTAGTCAGTCATGCTCACTGGTGAATCTCATTATTGTAACAAAATGGTTTTAAGTTATAATTTATATTTAGTGATTATTATAAAGCTATTAAAATACATTACAATTTTATATTTTAATCAAAATCAAAGACAGTTTAACAAACACTACCATGATGATCAAGATTTATGCTTAACCACACATGAAAGCAAACTAGACCTTGTAGGTGATTGAAGCAAAAGCATATTACATATTTGGATGCAAATTTTATTTATTTGTAAAAATACAGTAACCGAAAAAGTAAAGACATCTACTTAGAAAACCCTTCGAACAAAACAAAAGAATCATGAGTGCAGCAGCAGCCCCCTCACCACAATAATGACAAATGTGAAAGATTCAGCCAACTCCATCAGGCACTTAGACAGAAGAGATGTGGAGTGCATGGATTAAAACACAAATTTAAAATGAAGCGGGAAAAAAAATGAAACAAGGAGCCGATAGGTATTCTAGCCATTAAAACAACACCAGGAATAAGTTAAAACCGATACATTCTACATGTTCAGTGAACATTACATATTTCACAAACACATGTACATATAGGTCACATTGTTGTTCCAAATATATCATATAGATAAGACACACACACACACACACAGAGCCGAGTAATGATCACCTACAATTATCACATCAAGACTTTTCTAGTGGTCTCTAGAGCTGCTATGTCCGGGCCATCCTTAAGCCCTTTGTGCTTACATAAGTTCAGCTCATGGTTTTAAATCATCTAAATCTGGCGATAACACATTGTCCTTGTCCTTCTCTAGATAGACATACACAATCATTTACACAATCTTTACAAATTTGGACTTAAAAGTCAATTTAGTGTCTTTTAAAAAACAACTGTCTGTCTGTCTGTCTGTCTGTCCTCTTGCTAGTAAGAAAGAAACTTACGACACCTGTTCTCTTGCGTTACACAAACAAGCAGCTCATTGACTGAACATTTACATAAAAATTATTATGTGCAGAAGTCAGATCCTTCTCAACTGCCTGATTTCTTAGCACCATTCCCGCAATATGAAATTTGAAATGTTACTACAGATAAAAGTTGTAGGAAAATTAAATTTTAGGAGACAAAAGGGAAACGGCAAAAGTGTGACTTGTTGGTAAAACAAGAAAAAAAAGTTTACAGATTGGATCAGTAACTATTGCAAGGAGAATATATTTGCTTGTTGCCTATAGTTGCTTATATATGGCTTATGACGCTTGTGCTCAGGTTTAAGGACGATCTCTAGTGCAACAAATTGTGCCATATGGATATCCAAGCAAGCATGGAAAGACTGCATACATGTAATAGATGGTTTTCTGTTTAAAAAGGTTGTTACTGTTGAATAACACCCCTGTCTATTTAGTCTACACACAAACACTAGAGATGAGCGGTTTTAGACATGAAACCTGCTTCAGATCGGTTAGACGATCACTGGCGCCCAGTCCTTCGGAGTGCGTCCATACTGTACACGGAGAAACAGGACAGAGGTTGAGACAGTGTGACAATGGAACGAAAGGGGAAAAAAAAAAAGTATTATTAATTCAAGGGCTATTAAAAAAACTTCTCTACCTGGATGTCAGTGAGCTCCTTATGGAATCTCTTAGCAAGGTCCGGACCGTTCTTCATTGTGGGAATTTGGTAAGTCTAAATGATTTAAACAAATAAAAAGAGCAGTGTTTTCAATAAATGTACAAATGCTTATTAAACTGGCAAGATGCTGTCAGTGGACATTTGCATTAGAGAAGCAAAGTGTGCATTTCCTGGTTACCTGTCCTCTGTAGAGCAGACTGCCAACAGGACACACCACGCATGCAGTGCCTGAACCGAACACCTCCAGAATGCGGCCGTCCTCTAAAGCGTCTATTAGCTCCTTCATTAAAACTCTGCGCTCTGTCACTTTGAAGTCCCCCTGAAAAAGACACATGACCCTTACAAACAGTACTATGGCAGAACTATGATACAGGCATGGCAACAGACATCTTGGTACTTGATATGTAACATGTTACTGAACAATTATCATATTCATTTACAGTATTAAAAGGAATGCCATGGTGCTAGAATGGCACATGTCCTTAATGTGTCACTGTCATGTCATTTATTTATTTGAATATTAACATACAAATATGGTTTTGCAATCTAGCAAACCTTAGATTGATATTAATGTTTTAGAGAACACATGAAGTTGAGAGTTGAGAAACTTCCCCCTTTCCATTATTGTTTCTCACCCATTCTCTGGCAAGGTCTAGCAGTGACTGCCTGGTGACTCCTGGAAGAATGACGCCATCAAGTGGAGGGGTGACCAACTCTTTCTCTACAAAGACATGCAAATGTCAGCAAATACAGTGGGTATAGAAAAGAATCACCCCCGTTTAAAATAATCACATTTTGTTGCTTTGCAAGACTGTGATGGAAATGTTTTGTATAATGGCCTCAGAAGGAGTCAAAGGTATTTACAATGTCACAAAGCCAGAATATGCAGACTGAGAATGTGATTCAAAAAAGTGTTTAACAGCAGAACCTACAGTCACATGACTAGCTTAGATCATTACCAACTAATCACCAGAACAAATCACAGTGAAGAAAACTTGAGTTGATTTTTACTCAAATGTACATGTATCTTCCTGTTAAGGAGTCTCTCTTGGTTGTGACCAGTGGGCTCCCGGCCGTGAATACACTTGTATTCCTGCAAAGAGCAACTTGGGAGTGGTGTCTGGTATATGCTGCGCAGCTGAGGAATAGAAATACTAAAGATTCTACGCTCAAAAGACCACCGCAAAGCCAGCGATAGTGTTGGAAGACTATAGAGCCGTTCTCGGGCTGAGGCTGTAATACTCCGAGTTAGAACAGGTATTAAAGAACCTGTGTCGGACCAGCGTACAGCTGAGAAGGACGGTGAGAGTGTATAGATGCTAAAGACCTGTGTGCTCATGTGTGATTGAGGTAGTGATAGTAGCTTCTTGACAGAACGCCGTCACCATACTTCAGGAAAGTATTGTATTGTGAGTATTTGGGGAATTCAGGGAAATAGCTTGAGATACTGTAGTTATTATATTAACAACTGGAAGTTGTTTAAATTGTCAGTGGTGAAGTCAGGTTAGTATTGGGAATTTCCACGATAAGACGGACACAGTTTTTGTTTCATCCAGCTATATTTACTCAGTGCAACTTATAACATCCAAGTGAAAGATTTAACACCAACATGTCAGAAAAAAAAAACAGAATCACTGAGTTGGAAAAAGGATCACCTCCTTGTGTCAGTATTTTGTTGAACCACCTTTTGCTTTAATTACAGCCTTTAGTCTGTTGGGATCCGTCTCTGTCTCTACTAACTTTGCAATATTTGTCCCGCTCTTCTTTGCAGAACTGCTCAAGTTCAGGTAAATTTGATGGTGAGCGTTTGTGGACTGCAGTCTTCAAGTCATTCCACAGATTTTCAGTGGGGTTTAAGTCTGGGCTCTGACTAGGCCATGCAAGGACATTCAACTTTTTCTCCTTCATCCACTGTGTGCTTAGTTTTGCTGTGCTTTGGGTTATTGTCATGTTGGAAGGTAAACCTTCTTCACATTGACAACTTTCTAGCAGAGGGCAGCAGATTTTTCTCAAGAATTTGATGGTATTTTGCCTCATCCACTTTTCCTTCTATCCTGACAAGTGCTCCAGTCCCTGCTGCAGAGAAACACCCAGAACAGGATATTAGCACCTCCATGCTTTACTGGAGGAATGCTGTTATTTGGATGGTGAGCTGTATTGGATTTCTGCCAGACATATCGTTTGGTGTTGAGGCCAAATAATTCAGTTTTAGTCTCATCTGCCTCAGAATCAAGTTGTGTTTTGGCAAAGCTCAGTCGTGACTGCATGTGGCCTTTCTTGAGGAGTGACTTTTTTTCTTGCAACCCTCCCATAAAGCCACATTTCTGCAGAATGTGTGATATTGTTGTCACATGCACACAATGATCACTCTTTGTCATGAACTCCTGCAGCTGCTTCAGAGTTGCTGTAGGCCTCTTGGTCGCCTCTCTGACCAGTTTCCTCACGGCTCTTTCATCCAGTTTGGAGCGATGTCCTGATCCAGTGAGGGTCTGTGTTGTACCAAATACCTTCCACTTCTTAATAATAGACTTCACTGTGCTTCTAGGCATTGATAAAGCCTTTGAATTTTTTTTGTATCTGTCTCCTGACTTGTGCCTGTCCACAACTTGATCCCGGAGATCTTTTGAAAGTGCCTTGCCACCCGTAGTTGATTGTTTGCTTCAGTTGCTCTACCAAGGAAATGCTCCAAGAAAACTCTTTTCATGCTGAGCTGATCAAAATGACCACAGCTGATCACAGTTGAAAGTCAAATGGCTTTGTGTGCCATTGAGAAGGTGACTGGCTACACCCGATTGAGTTTACAAGTCATTTTTAGGAGGGGGTGATCCTTTTTCCAACTCAGTGATTCTGGGTTTTAATTTTTTTCTGACATGTTGGTGTTATATCTTTCACTTGGATGTTATAAGTTGCACTGAGTGAATACAGCTGGATAAAACAAAAACCGTGTCGGTCTTCATTTCAGGCTGCAAAGCAACTAAATGGGATTATTTTAAAGGGGATTGATTCTTTTCTATACCTACTGTACATCTTACCCCCAGCAGAGGGTGACAATCATTATTCATGGAATAACAAATTACTAAACATCAACATCTTGACAAATTACGAAGCAGGCCACACTGTACAGTGCAGTGCTCTTGACTTAACCTTGCTATTTTGAGAATGAGAAATGAACTGGAAGCAATATAAACTGTGACTTTTTTTCTCGTCCGGGCTCCCATACCATTTTATCGATGATTTTCCATAACTTTTTTATTCCTTCATGATTATCAAATAAGGATTTTTAAAAATCACTAGCCTATTAAATATTGTACAGAATTGTTCATGATAGAAATTTCCATAGCTTAAAATTGTATTTATTTTCAAGACATTTCTAGGCCTGCAAATCATGATTCTCTCATATTGCCAAGTGTTTCATGACTGCAGAATCCCAGTTAGGTATTTTTACACACCAAAAAGTATGGGTAGGATGCTGCGGTTTTATTCCTAAAATAACATAACCCTTGTAAAAAATACTGTCTACAGAAACAAGAGCCACAACATCCATGTGTGTAAACATAGGCATTTAAAGGTACACTACATTAGTAAATAAAAAAATATTAGTTCCAAATTTACAAAATTTATATAACGAGCGAGTACATCATGAATCCATATTCCAAACTGTGCTTTTATCTTATCCTGAATCACTTCCGTATGCCAATAATAAGGGTTTATATTCAGACTATTTTAGACGTATTGGGACGACAACCACTGCGGAGAAGCCAAGTACCTGCATGACTAGTCATATCCATAAACAGAGAGAAGTAGCTCCGGCTACAATGTTTTTTCCAATAAGCACATTTTGGGTACTAAAACACACTTTTGCACCTAAAACATGTTAGGACTGCAGAAGCTTTTAATTCAGAGTTTCTAGATGCTACTCTCCCTCTCACCTCCTTTCTCTGTGGTCCAGTAGATGAAGAGATTCATGGTTCCGACCTCCGTGATCTCCTCATTCTCTCCGTACAGCCAGAGGACCTGCTGGCACCCCTGCTTGGCCGCCTCGCTCTGAACAGCAATCGTCGGCCCGTAGTTACTAAGAAACATGAAGCCACAATCACAGAGGTGCATTCAGGCGATAAAACACTGGCATGGATCATTACATTGAAACCAAACATTTTAAAGGATAAGAGGTTTATAACGAACAGTGGGAAGCACTTCAATTCATAATATAAACAGACATCAGATAATCTGAACACTCAGGACAGCAGCACAAGCTTTGCTGAAGTGGACCTTAAATGCATAATGGGACAGTAAGATAAGGACTGATAAGAGAGTAGGGAGAGATACAGCACATAAACAGAAACCAGAGCTGCATTAGTGTAAAGGGTTAGCAGATCGCAAAGAATTTACCATGATCCCAAGCTGCAACTTGTACATGAGCAGCCTACTGCAGCCTGTGCAAAGTACTGAATTTCTCTGAATAACCTGAATGTGAAAAGCTACTCCTAAGACTCCAAAGTGGCACAATAATGGTTAAAAAAAACAAAAACTCCAATGTTTGCCTGGAGTCATTCAAAGGGCAATAGAGTGTGACAAACAAATACAGCAGAAGTGTAATTGCTCTTCTGCCATTCATGATCTCACCATTAAAACAAACAAAAAAATGCATCACTATCCTGCAACAGTAAGAAACTGAAAATTGGATCGGCTTACCAACAAAAGTCTCAAAAAACACTTGCAATACTACAGAACGGTTAACGTTATACCCTTATGGAAAATGCATAGCAGAGAAAATGGTTCTAAAGAATTAGAGTTTAGAGTTTATGTTTCTGCTTTAATTTTGTGGGGTAAACTAGACAAAGTTTGGATTTCTGGGCGAGGTGGAGTGAACTGCAGTGCTAATAGATGAATGCTCATGAATGCACAGTTGAGTACAGAAGACCAACTGCCAAGGTCAGGATTTTTACATTTCAGTTTCTTTTTCACCAAACCCTGTTGTATACACCCATAACACTTGGAATATGCAGCATGTCACAGGAATTTTTTATTTTTTTTAAAGCCAGACTATGGTCACTATTCACTGCCATTATATGAACAAGCACAAGCAGGCCATTTTTTCATCAAATTTCTTTTTGTGATCCAAAAACATATGGCAGAAGGGCATATGGCATTAGAACAACACCAGGGTGAGAAAATAAATCATTTACATTTTTGAATGAACTAACATAACAAGAACATATTACACAATTTATTGCAACAATAATATAAAAATAAAAGCAGAAAAACATTTAAATTTAAATTTGAGATTTCAGGGACTTTTTTTCTGCCAACAATGAAAATTTTTTCGGTAACACTTTACTTGAAGGGGTGTGCATAAGACTGACATGACACCTTCATAATCATGACATGACACATGTCATGAATATGAAGGAGGTTTTATGCATGTTTATGACAACTGTCATTATGTGTCATTCGCTCAGTTATGTCATTTTTAATGCGAATATGACATTATTTGACCAAACCCTAACCTAACCCTACCCCTACCCTTACCCCTAACCATAGCCCATAACAAAGACATCTCAAGCAATGTCATCTTTGCATTAAAAATTACATAACTGAGCGAATGACACTTAATGACAGTTGTCATAAACATGCATAAAAACCCTTCATATTCATGACATGTGTCGTGTCATGATTATGTAGGTGTCATGTCATGATTATGAAGGTGTCATGTCAGTCTTATGCACACCCCTTCAAGTAAAGTGTAACCATTTTTTCATTTGATTTATTATTGTACAACTCTTAAAATGTATATATATATATATGTAAAGAATATGTGACCAAGCTTTTGTGAAAACTCACCCGCCCATCTTGTATTCTCCAACGCCGCCCCTCCAGGCCCGGACATATCGAGGATCTGCCAGCAATGACACTGGACTAAAGCCTCCAGTTGCAAAATAAGGTCCAACGGGCCCAATGATGACAAAGAGCAAAGAATGACCTGTTCGAGACACACCTAGAGAAGGCTGCAAAAAGAAAGAGGGTCACCATTAAAGATAAAAAGATCAAAATCATTCAACAAATTATATTTTAATATCTATAGTCTCTTACTTCAGTTCCTATGAAGGTTGGTCTGATGTACAGGCTGGCGTCTGTGGAGTAAGGAACCCATTCTTGGTCGACCTCAATCAGCTTATTGATACACTTTATCAGTTCGACCTTATCAAATAACTAAGAGGGATGAAAGAGAGAGAGAATATGCTGATGGAGATGGGAGCGGATACGGCACACAGATTGGCTAAGTGGAGATGTGATAATAATATCACAGAGCACTAGTCAATAAGCTGAAGTAATGGCCAGTGCAATAAGATAAAGACTAACCGGCAGGCAGCTCCTCTCGGTGCTCCGGTACATGCGCTCCATATTGAGCATAGGCCTGAAGAGACGGATATGGTTATCTACTCCCCGGAAAGCCTTCATACCCTCAAATAGCTGAAAATAAAACAGAATATCAGACAAAAAGGATTTAATTAAAAAAGGCACGAATTTTGGAAATTAGTCTTTAACATTATTAGCAATCCCTATAGTTCACTTCAGTTTAAAATGGATCATATTAAATAAACCTATATTAAGACAAGGACAAATAACTTTGCAGAACATTCATGGAAATACTAGCTGTAGCAATAAGATTACTCAGCCTTACCAAGCTCACAGAGGCATTTATTTGTTAGAAAATACAGTATAAATAATATAATTATTGAAATATTATATTTTAAAATAGCTGTTTTCTATTCTAATATGTGACCCTGGACCACAAAACCAGTCATAAGGGTAAATTTTTCGAAATTGAGATTTATACATCATGCGCAAAGCTGACCTCATACGTCATCCTCCCGGAGCTGCTTCCAGTGTACAACAGTGAGCGCAAGCTACATTAAAGTAATTATTACATTTTGGATATGGATATTTTTCTTACAAAAATGCATGGATTCGCTACAGAAGGCTTTGTTCACCCCCCGGAGCCGTGTGAGATACTTTTTTTTTTTATGGATGGGCGCATTTTATTTAACTGCTTTTGAACGAATGCATGCAACACCCGCTGAGTGCCATTAAACAGCTTGAAAGATCAAAGACGATTTTTTATATAACTCCGACTGGATTCGTCTAAAAGAAGAAAATCATATACACCTAGGATGACTTGAGGGTGAGTAATTTATAGGCTAATTTTCATTTTTGGGTGAACTAACCCTTTAAGACTGGTTTTGTGGTCCAGGGTCTCATATATTTTAAAATTTATTCCTGTGATGCAAAGCTGATTTTCAGCATCATTACGCCAGTCTTCAGTGTCACATGATCCTTCAGAAATCCTTCTAATATGCTGATTTGGGGGCTCAAATTGTTATTGTCATCAATGTTGAAAATAGTTGTGCTGCTTAATATTTTTGTGGAAACGTGATACATTATTTTGTTCAGGATTCCTAAGAATGTAAATAAATATAGAAAAGAACAGCATTTATCTGCATTAAAAAATATTTTGTAAACTTTTAAATACCTTTACTGTGTCTTTTGATCAATGTTTTTCATTCTTCATTAATTTCTTTCCAAAAAACAAAAAAAACATACTGACCCCAAACTTTTGAGCAGTATTGCATATAAACATCACTGTCAAGCTTCATAATTAACTATATATTCATCAAGATTAATGTCATATAAAATTAACTAATTTTGTATAAAAAATTTATAAGATTAAGAATTATAAACAACATATACATACATAAAATAATAATAATTTAATACAATATTTTAATAAATTATTAATTGCAATCACAATATCAAGGAGATGTGTATATATATATATATTGTGCAGACACTTCATTTCTACATTTTCACAGTTTGTTGGGGCACAGCATCTGACAGAATTCAGATAAAAACAGCATACTTGGGAAATAAAGTCAACTTGCTTTTGAATAAATGAGAAAAAAAAGATGCTAGGAACCATGTGGCTCACACACTCCCTCACCTCTATGGAGTAATGCAGGGCTGAGGAAGCAGGGTGCAGGGACAGATTCTGGAAGGGCTTGATCTGAGGTGCCTCCCATCCTCCTGCCGCAGACCAGCTGATGTTCAGCATGTGGTCGGAAAACTGCTTGCCGAACACGAGGGTTGAGGGGTCTGGCTTTGGCTTCACTACAGGGTTCCTCTCTATGGTAAGATCTGCAGCCTGACACAAACAAACGGGGAGAAAAAGAGGGAGAGAAAACGAAAAGACAGAGAGGGGCGGGGAGTAAAGCGGGCACGAGGAGAGGAGTTTATTCATTATCATTGATTGCACATGCATTTGAAAAATGAATCTGGATTCATCATGCCGGTCAAGCTCTTATGGAAATTGAATTAAATTAAATTGCAGTGAGAAGGGAAGGGGGTGTTGGAAAAAAAGAAAGCATGCAAGAAGGCAAAAGCACAAAGAAAAGAGACGTCAGATCCCACAAGGTGACACCGTGGCCTGCTTAACACTTCAGAAAATGCAACTTTACAGGTCTGGAAGACTTGCATTGCCCCAAAAATGGGATCGTAAACTCTGAGCCAACTGAAACAAACACACATAATTACAAGACCTGAAAGCCCAGGCTGACCTGTGGTGGCATGGAAAAAAAGTGGTGCATAAACCTAGCACAACAGCGTTGTTTCAATACCTTAAAGGAAGAACTGACAAACCGCAACGACCCACATGACAGGGAGAGAGGCTGAAGAAAGCGTCCATTCAGTGCCTTAAAACACAGAAACAGAGAGTGACTTCAACCGTTTCCTTTCATAACCCAATCAGACATGAGCACGTTCTTCTTGACAGCTGCTGTATAGCTCTCGTGAGATGTGAAGGTTGAGTATGTACTAGCTGTATATACCTGCATGTGTGCACAAGGAGACAGCTGGCTCTCACAGTAGCAGTGCTTTTTAATAGCTAAAAAACCCTGAGTGAATAAGTAAAGCAAAGAAAGGAAATGTGTGTTTGCCTATTTTACTCTAAGACATACACTAGTCCTACTCTTATTACTGTTTTGTTTTCGTGCTTTATTATACATTTGTTTACATAATAAATAATATAGCAGGGCTACACGATAGCTCTGTCGGGAGATCTAGCCAAACTCTGTGCATAATTTGGCAGGCAAAAGTGTCTTATGGCATGATATTTTACCACTAGTTCCTGAAAAACTAGCTAGCATATAATTTTGCAACTAGTATTATTTTAATTTTATTAAGTAAACCGATAGTGACTAGTATCATTTTCAACTTCACCATAATAATTATTCATTCAGTTATCTCTTTGCTACTAGTCACTACCAAAATATTGTCAAGTAACTATAACACCAAAGTTACTGGTAGAAAAGTGAAAAGATTTCAAAGGCAAAAGTTGCAACAATTCACTTCCAAGTAGCATTCTAGCATTACTAGTAACTATAATTTAAGTAGTACTTACATATTTTTAGTATTAGGACACTACTATGAAACTGATTTTTTTTGTATCTCACAATTTACAATGGCTTTTCACTTATATGTAATGGCCAGTCAAAACGTTATAGTTCAACATTAAAACACAATTTCAATATTAAAATCTAGAAAGATGAAACATTTAGTTACATGTACCTAAAATATAAGTACAAACACTGCATGATAAGTTACAAGTGAAACAGGAATACCTACCAGCAACAAGTGGATTACATACTAGTCAGAAATAGACTTGTGCCGGTATTCGGTAATGCGATATATCACGGTAATGAATATGCACGATATTGTTATCGTGGGCACTTCTAAATACCGTGAATAATTATATATTACAAATTATTCCGAATTTTGAATGCATTTTAAGAATACTTTTCCCATCAACTGTTCAAAATGCACAACACCGCTGTATGCTGCGTGAAAGACGCGTGCGCACTCTGACGTAAACAAGCGCTGATGAGAAGCACATGGCGCACTTTCACTCTGACAGCAGATGGAGCTAAACTGCAGAAATAATAATAATAATAATAATTCATTTAAATGCAGCCGTTACCCCGGAAACCCTGTAAACAAAGCAGCTGCACTACTTTCTGTTTCTGAATGGTGTTTAAATGATTTAAACAGCCATTCAGATTTGTGTATTTGCTATGATGTTCATCACAGCGCCAAATACTTAAATATTTAGACTTCATAGGGTATTTATTTTCAAACTTTTTTTACATTTTAATCTGGACTACAACATGCCCTAGATATTGTTTGAAAGTGTTTTGATTCTTTATTGTTCATTCACACTTTACATTAGGGCTTCATTAGTTAACATTAGTTAATTCATTAGTTAACATAAACTGCCAATGAAAAATTATTCTGAACATTCATCTTAGGCATTCCAATATTTAATAACAGGTTGTTAAAACCGAAAGTTGCAACTGTGTTATTTAATGAGCTAACATGAACTAAGACTTGTATTTTTTTTAACAAAGATGAATAACTTCTGTAGCAAATGTTAATGCATTAACTAAGGTTAACTAATGAGGTCTTATTGTAAAGTGATACCTATTGGTCTTTATAGTTCTTTTGCACTTTAATCTGTGTAAAACTTTTAACTTCATACATTGTTCTGTATTGCGTTATTGCATTTAAATGTTCAGTTATTTTTGTTAAACCTGTTATACTGTATTATGACAGCACTTTTTTTAAAACTAAATTTCAATATCGTGATAATACCGCATACCGTGATAAAAGCATTAGCAAGTAATCGCAACATGAACATTTGATACCGGCATATCCCTAGTCAGAAGTGGTTAGTTAATATCACAGATCCCTATTGATTTTATTTGCAAACCGTAACCAGCAAAAGTGGAATAGTTACTTGTTGGATAGTGACTAATAGTAAATGAATACTAGTGACTCGTTAACTGAAAAGACATTGATTACTATTACTGGAATGAATACTAGTATCTCTCTGATAAATTGCTACAAGTAAAACTGCAAACCCTACTAGTCATTATAGTATTATTATTATATAATGTTATTATTATAACATTATATCATATTATTATTATTATTTATTTTTTGTCTGGAAACATAAAAAAAATTAAATGTATTTATTTTGTATATTTGTATGAATGATTGTTAAAACGGCTTGCCATAGGCGCGTGCGTTCATACGGAAATACGTGAAATGCTGCTCTCGTTCACAAAGCAAGCGTTAATCTTTTACAGGCAGATTTGCGTATGAACAGCAATTCAGAGTGAGAATCAACAAATGACCCTCTGATGTTTTATCCAAATATAAAATCAAACGCTTAAAAATATGCATCCCGCTCATGTGATCATTGAAACTTGCGAGTTGTCGATTTGCAACGACGACGGTGATCTGCAGTTTAAAGCTGCTAAATTCTGTTCTGTTAAATAAACTCCATACACGTCGAGAGTATTTAGACAGAGCCGTTAATTATTGACAGAAGGATTTGGAGATGTGGCAGGGGGATAAGTGAAATGATCTTTGAACTCACCACCTTGATCGCTGCCATTGCTGCAGTGCTGAGATGAATGGTAAGCTAGTCCGAGTGGGAGCAGCAGCCCGGGACTGGCTGATCTCGGCGTTCCGGATTGGACCACTTAAGAAAACAGAGGCGATGTGCTCAGACTTTGAATCGTTAAAAGTTTCTTCAATTTTCATTTAAGCTCATTCGCATCATTTTCAACACAGGCCAGTGTGATATTTGCATCAGAAGGCTCGTTTGAAATACCTTAAATGTTATTATTCGTGATGTGCAGGAGGATATAGCCTTCAAAATTCAAATGCTGGAAACTTTAGGCTTTCTAAATAAGTAGGATATTTCTGAACACTCATATGATATGGTTGCACAAATAGTCGGTTATATCATAATATGTATCGTCTTTATATGAATTTTAAAACTCATTTATGTTACAAACAAAACTATTCCCATCCACCAAAGGGTTAATAATAACCCGAGAGTAGGCGGGACGGAGCTCTCGCATCTGATTGGATAAAAAAAAGTAGGGGTCAAATCTACGCAATCACCGGGGTTAAACAAGGTTATGAGGAAACATTCCATTCATTGGCCAGTATATGAGGCGTTGGTCCGATCCTGTTAAATGATTGGCTTTTGGACATTTGAAGAAATATGTTTTATGTCACTACCTTCAGCTGATGAAAATAAAAATAGCCTGCCATCTGTGTTGGTCACTATTGTTGGTCACTCCAGGACGCTGCGCTCCATGTGACTAGTAAGTCAAATCTCAAATAACTGCCCTGATGACTTGTGTTCTGCCCGCTTAAATGATAGAAGTACTTGTGCTGTCCAATCTATAAAGACTGTGTCTGTTCCCCGAATAGTGAGGTCAAAATATAAATTTAATGCAGGATCTAGAAAAAATCTGATCGTGATTAAACCAGAAAGAAATAAAATAAATGAACAAAAACAAAAACAATTTTTAAAGTTTGGGCTAAACATTAGATCACTCTCACCCAAAGCAGTTATTGTAAATGAAATGATCACAGATAATCGTTTTGATGTACTCTGCTTGACTGAAACCTGGCTAAAACCTAATGATTATATTGGTCTTAAACAAGCCTGTGTAGCTTTAGATTGCACAGAAACCAAGTTTTCCATTTGCATATTTAATGGCTTTAGGATTAGAAATAGTATTTTCTGTCTCAATCTAAATTTTCATCAATCTTTATTATTAGATTAAGCTCTTCAGTCATTAGTATTTACTGTCTTTGAACTTGCATATACTATAAAAGCAGCACATTTCCAGCTGTTTAATACAGGACTCACCAGATCTTTTAATGGCCACATTTTGATATCAAAAGATTCATAACAGTATCAACACTGCACACGGTTTGGCTTACATTACTATCTCAGAATAATCCCCATAGGTGGCATTTTAAAGAAGTTCTGACATACTTTTCCTAGCTACTATTAAATGATCTGACAACAATGTAAATTAATGAAGCTTTTTAATTACTACAAATAATTTTAGAAATACAATGTGTGAAGCAAATCACAACCCGTCAAGACTCACTAAAGATTTGAAAAATCATTACATCACAGATAAAATTGGATCATTGTCCAACAAACTGTCCAGGGAATGTTTACATGTAAACATCAGTAAGTCTTTGCACATTCATGGTACTGTAATTCACAGTGCAGGTCTCTTTCATATAATATTTAACTAATATTTGCATTTAAAAATGAAAAACTCAGCATTTAGATTAATTAATTAAGATTTCATGGATACACCGAAAAGTCCAATTACTATTAGATATACAAACAACTGGCTTAAATTTAAATTGAACAATTATTGCACCATTTACCTGATCATGAAGCAGCATGAAAGTACGAAATGGCAAGTAAAAGAAAAACAATTTTTAATTGCTTAGAAGTTAAGTCAACTTTCAAGAATGTGATTGTTTAACGTTAAGCTTAAACTCGTTCAAATAAAAGTTGTGCATATCAATTTGAAATGGTGCAATGATTTAGAAAAATCTGCAAAGTCATTTCATGGAGCTTTCCATCACAGTCTGGTTATGGAATTTGGCTTTTGAAGCCGTAGTTCAGTTCAGCCCCTCCACTTAGAAACAAATCTATCCCAGTACAGAAAGTGGCATCAGCAGCCAAGAAGAGGGCAGCTAATCCACTCTCAGTCTCCGTTCCCATTCGACCAATCAGCTGTTGAGTAGAAATATGTTACTATAATATATTCAGCAGAACACCATTCTTCTATTGCTCATTTAGCCTTATGAACACTTACCTGAGCATTTTCTCCCCCCTTAACAGTGGCAGCAGCATCTTCTGTGTGGTCTGCAAGCTCCTCCCACAGAGGCGTCATTATATTGCTTGGAGAGATGCTGTAAAAGAGTTTGAATGTTAGTAAACAGCATGTTCACAGATAGCAATTCAATAGGATTAGAAACAGAGATTAAGATATAAATAAAGAAGTAAGGGACAGCTTTAGATGTCAGGGGGACTGGGGGTAATGGCACTCACCAGTTCACTCTCACTTGATAGCGACTCTCGTCCACAGCCATTGCTTTAGTCATGGCAGTGATGGCCCCCTTGTGGATATATGTGAGTATTACTGTTACTTCCAACTTGTAAGATGATCACGTAAAGCACTCGGGACAAGCAGAGAAACTCACCTTGGTTGCCACATAGGGAGCCGCATCTTTTTGACCTATTGAGGCGACAAGGCTGGACAAATTGATGATGTTTCCTTGTGTTTTACGCAGATACGGCAGTGCATACTGACCCAAGGTAATGAAAAGAGGTTAAAAAAGAACAAATCAGTCATTCTGCACAAGTAAATAGACCAAACCAAAAGTTTTTTACATCACTTCCTTACCTTTGAAGCAAGGAAGTAACTGATGAGGTTCAGATTAAGCAGGTCTCTAAACTCCTCTGCAGTGGTTTCATCTGTGGTCTTGTGAGGGGGGTCTGATAGAGGATTGAAATAAAATATTGAGAAAAAAAATTATTACGATTTTGTAAAAATAAAAAATAAATAATAATAGATTTTTTTCTCCAAATAAATCTAAAAGCCTCTGGTTAAAATAAAATAAAACAAATAAAAAGTTCAAAGTACAAAAAAATGTAACAAGGGTTGAATAAAACGTTGACTTACGCCACCCAGCATTGTTCACCAAACAGTCTAATTGTCCAAACCTCTCAATCGTCACATTGATTAACCGCTTCAAGATAAGATATGATCATTAAAATCAATCAAACAATACATTTAGAACTATATGACATATTTGTTTTGAAAGTCCTTATGTATTATAAAAATAAAATAAGAAAAACAACATTGTAATTCGAATTATTTAAAAAAGCCTAACCCACAAAACAGCACAAAAAACGTTTATACATTATTATTATTTTTATAATACGGCTCTCAAGTTTTATATGGAGACCTTTTCAAAAATAATAAAAGAACTTAAAAGTTTAATTGCTAATTACTTATTAGCTAAGTATTACTATTATTTTATCCGTTTCCTCTGCATTATGCATTTGCTCTCATGCAAATACAAGTTTAAGAAGAAAAGGGAAAGATAAAAGTGTAAGACAGATGTTATGACTGAATGAGGATACCTTGATGTCCTCCTCTTGTGTCACATCACATGACACAAACCTGCATGATCCCGGTCCTTCCTTATTCAGCGCAGATTCAAGAGACTGGCCAGCTGACAATTCAGCTGACAATTGTAAAAAAGAAGGAAACGTTATTGCATTTACTGGTGAAAGAAACGTAGAGCTAAAAGGCTATTTGAAATCATATCACATACTCTCTTGTGCGCAGAACACAACTTTGGCTCCGTTTTGCACTGCAAAGCAAACACGAATTTAATTTGACTTACTCTCCCTTTTCTCTCGATTACTTAATGGAAAGATAAATATGATAAACCCTTACCAAACACTTTAACGATGCCCCTTCCAATGCCTCTAGTGCCCCCAGTAACGATGACAACTTTGTTGACATAACGCTGAGCACAAGCCATGCTACTACGTTATACGTTCACTTATGTGTACTTATGCAGCAAATGTAAATAATGTCAAATTTCAGCACAGTACTGACCGAGTCTGATCGAGTAAGCGGTTCCTAAAGTACTGAAGTCATCTGATAGAGAAGTAGTAGCTACCCGATGTCATGTGTGTGTGTGTGTGTGTGTGTGTGTGCTTTGGAAGATATTAACTTGCAAGGGACTGTGATGCTTTTGTTGAACATTTTCACCCCTCACCTTCATTTAAGTCTTGTTTTACACTTGTTTTATATTGACAGGTTGTTTTGGTGTCTTCACATAAACTGGTTCTGTTAACAGGGATGGTTTGATAGTCTTGTTTTTTTTTTTGGCAAATGTATTTTTTTAATTATCGATTTATATATTTAATTTTATTTATTTGTTTGAAGTCTTGTAGTCTTATTCTCAGGGTGAGGTTCAAAGTGGTAATGGATCTGTCTCCAGGAGTCAACACAGGGTTCGGATAGAGTACATGAAATGTTTGTATATGATTTCATGAAATGGCAGGAGAAGTTTCTGCAGAAGTATTTAAGTATAGATACCATCTTCAGTTACATAACTGGAATGGGATTGTATAAATGTCTTGTTGTAGAGCAGATTATTTTTCTATTACACATTCTGTTGCACACTTTAATTCAATTATACCACTTAGAAAATAGATACAAGTATTTTGCATTATAAATGTGTTTTTTATTTTAATGTATTAAATTAAATTGTATAACACCTAATCTGTAAAAATTATTTTGTTGTAAATAAAAAAATGGATTATTGGAGTATGTTTTTCAAGAAAGTATACTATTTCAGTCTTTCTACTTTCACATAAAATTCAACATGTTATTTGTTGTTTGTATTTGTAATTATTATTTTTTTTAGCAATTTCTGAGTGCAATGCAATTAATACAATGTAATTAAGTTTAAATGTTTTAAATTACATTATTATTCCATAGACAGACAGACAGACAGACAGACAGACAGACAGATAGACAGATAGACAGATAGATAGATAGATAGATAGATAGATAGATAGATAGATAGATAGATAGATAGATAGATAGATAGATAGATAGATAGATAGATAGATAGATAGATAGATCTAACACCAATTTAACAAACCTTTGACCGCTGGGTTCATGCTTGGCTGAAATGATTGTGTTTCTACTCAATAAAACAGACTGAGTGAACAAGAAAGAAGAAGACATGGACAAAGGAGAAGAATCGGACAGGGGAACGGAGGACAAACAACAAGCAGAGGAAGAGATCAGCGAAAGTGACAAGAACCTCAAGGACCAGCGCAACAAGGCAGAAAAGGGGGACAAAGAGAAGGGTGATAGGAAGAGAGAGAATCGAAGATCTGGTTCAATGTGGAGAGCAGGTTGGGCGCTGTCCGAACGACTGGCCATCAATGTGTCAGGCATGCGCTACGAGACACAGATTCGAACCCTGGCCCAGTTCCCTGACTCCCTGCTCGGTGACCCTCAGCGGCGTCTGCGCTACTTTGACCCACTCCGAAATGAGATCTTCCTGGACCGCAATCGATTCTGCTTTGACGCCATCCTTTACTTCTATCAGTCCGGAGGTCGGTTACGGCGGCCTGCCAATGTGCCTCTGGACGTCTTCATGGATGAACTGCGCTTTTATGAGCTGGGAGAGGATATCATGGCTCGCTTCAAAGAGGATGAGGGCTTCCCCAAGGAGGAGCCTCGGCCCCTGCCAGACAATGAGATCCAGCGCAAGCTGTGGATGCTCTTTGAACACCCTGAATCCTCTGGAGGCGCGCGCATCATCGCCATCATCAGCGTGATGGTGATTGTGGTCTCTATCCTCATCTTCTGTTTGGAGACGCTGCCTGACTTCAGAGTAGAGAAGGAGCTGAGAGAGGTGAGAGGAGCAGTGGAAAGACATGTCAATGTTACAGTGTTTGACCAGGTGTCTAGCAAACTGTTATCAGTTGATATTCCCATACAGAAAATGCAGGATACATTTTTTTTATTAAAAAGTACACATAATGCACAAAACATGACCAACAAGCTCAAGCCATAGTAATAAGAAAGAATGTTAGAATGGCTGTTAGCATGAAGCAGATGGGTTCCTGAGCATATGAAGATGAATGAGCATAAATAAAATAACATTTATAAATATTCATATATTATTTAAATTAGCATGAAATTAAAATTCACCCTATCGCTTTGCTAAGAATGTTATTAAGAGTGCATGTTATTGATCTTATTGTGAACGATTCATCCATGATATGTTTTTTTTTTTTTTTTTTTTTACAAATTTTTAATCAAAATGTCATAACTTGGGGGAAAGACTTAAAGACTTAAATCCTGCACTTTTTAATAACTGACCTCATTAAGATTTGCCTTGGTCCAATCAACAACCAATGGACAGAACCAAGTCCCAAGCCCCTGAATTTTTGTTTCTAAATAATCCATTTCAATTAGATGTACTTCCATTTCAATATGGAAGAAAGGGTCTTTTGCTACTTCCGTTATGTTGCAACTTTAATATTACATAATTTATTTTATTTTTATTTTTAACTATTAATAGCTATCAATAACTATTTAAAATATTAATTCAAAGCCTATATGTGTGGTCCCATTTACTGTTGTTCTGCGAATTCCAGTAATTTTAAAAGGAATCCACATGACTGGGGATTTAAGTGAAGACGACAGATTTCCCCACGCAGCTTTCGCAGCAGTTTCAAGTTGGTCATGCAGGTTATCTGTGTCGACCAACAGAAAGCTGCTTGGTTTGAAATTGACTCTATTGTGAGCTGTGCTTCATACATCATTACACTGTTGACAAAAGAGACTTTTTATGCCTGCGAAATTTTGCTAATGTGTCTGCACCTTCTTAGATATTCTCAATGTACTTGACTGTCACTCAAAATCCTATTGAAGTGAACATGTACGAGCAGCGTATAGTCACAAAAAAATTCCTATTCTCATAGCATTTGTGGCCAAGTGGAACAAACACAGGTGTTTACATTTTTAATGGTTGACTTGTTGTTCTGTTGCCACATTGAATTAGCCTACCGGAAATAACAGGCTACAGTGTTGTGTTTGTATTATGTAATTTTTAGTGCACAAACTCATCTAAGTAGTGTGCTGTGTAAATGTACACTGCATACTGAATTTCTATCAAATATTAAAAAAAAGTTTAATGCTAAACGCTAAGGCATTCTTACTGACTATATATAGTTTCACATACAAATTAAAAAATGTGTACACATTTCAAATCACACAAATAAGGGAGGTTTAAAGTGTGAGAAGTTGCATAAAAAGAAAACAGCAGATGAAAAGTTCAGGAGCAGAAGAGAGTGTAGGTTTATTGCTGAGATTATTTTAGACGTGTCGTTAAATCTGATACACACATTGGGAGTAGAGACACTGGGGGGTTGGAAAACAGTCAAGTGACTTGTCCGTGGAGAGAAACAACCGGCGTACACAGATAGAAAAAAAGGGAAGGAGATGAGAAATTACAAGATGACAGAGATGGTCCTCACTGCAGAACACAAGATCCAGGGGGCGAGGTTGGATCCAGATCCAACTCCTCCCACCTTACATATACCTAAACCTACCCGTCTCCACCCCCTGATCCCTAAACCCACCCATCTCCACCCCTAAACCTACCAATCTCCACCCCCTATATGTGGATCCAACCACGTCCCTGGATCTTGTGTTCTGCAGTGAGGGGCTACTGGGGGATGACAGGTGACAGTATGAAAGAGCGTCTGTGCTTGATCGAGTGAGGGAAAATAGAGCGACACAGGGTGGGTTGGGACTTGGGAGCAAGGAGGGAAAGTTAGTAAAGAGTATCAAATTAGTTTCCCAGCAGCGTCCCAACTGCTTTGGCACAAGACCGCAACCTCAACACGCTGCCAAAGCAGCTCAGTAATTCTGCATGGATCAGACAGTCAACGACCAGTAAACTAAAGCGGTTGAGAGAGAGATTGTACATTCTCAAGTTTCACCTTAGAGATCTAAGGCGTTATTTTTAGAGTAAGGACAACCCTTCAGAGCATATTAACACAGGAGCTTGTATTAATAAACAGACCCCCTCGAATGCTGAGATAGGAATGGAAACACACTTTCACATCATCTTATGATGACTTTAGCAAAATCTAAATAAGCACTACGATAGGGAACACTTAATAGCCAGCTAGCCAGAGACAAGATTACACACCACACGTGCATACAAGCTCACGTCTCACATGTCATATCTTCTAATCTCCTATCTTACTATTTAAAAATCTGTTTTCCATTCAAACACACAAGGTTTAGCTTTGCGTTATACGACTGGAAACTTAAGTAAGGTTATATGTGTTTATGGATACATATTTTAAAATACCCCTACTCTGGTTACCTTTTACTCACATCTCACTCACGAGTAATTTTTTTATGGAGTCAGAGTGATAAAGAGCAAAAATTATTGACCTTTGAGTGAAAGGTCATGTACTGTGACCCTAAAAGCAGAATGGGACATTCAACTGCACTCAAGAAGTGGGTGTCAAATGGGCAAACAATTTGTTTCAGTCAGGCACTCATTTGGCAAAGCACGTTTGGCCTCAACAGTTTCAGAAGTTAGCTTTCTATTAAACAGTTTTATTAACTTAAAGCTACAGTATGTAACACTGTATGCCCTCTAGCGGTTAAAAAAATAAAACTGCATGCTCTGCTCCTCTGAGTCTGCATGGATGAATGTGGTTCGCGGAGGAAGCATTAAAATCTACATTGAATAAACTAAAATAAACATTGAAATCTAAAAAAGGCGTCACCATTATGCTGTTGTTTTGACTTATTGCAAACACTGATGTTTTTAAATAAATGACGTAATAAAAGTTACAAACATTACAAGTCGTTAACACTGGACAATAGGGATGTAACGATTAACCGCGAGCCGGTTGAAAATCGATTAAAATATGTGACGATTCAAATCGGTTGAGATGCCAAACAATTTGCGATACAATTGGAGTAGGAGTTCATATGACTGTATCTCTGAGGGGCACTGACTGTCTTTAGAAAAGTTTACGTATATATTTTTTTCATCTTGCCTCTGAACAATGCATATTAAAGTAGTGTTCATAAACAGCGGTAACCCAGGAAACACTGTATGATTGTTGTTCATAAGCGCCACCTGCAGTCAGAGAGTGAATCTGCATCTCATTCAGCTCGTCTGCTGTTTCTTTCAGATATGTTTTATGTAGTATAAAACTAAAGTCAGAACATTCTGTTTTTGCTTTAGATTAAAAACTACTCACGCTGCATGTATGCTGCATCTTTGTTTGGAACATGAGTAAATCCAGTGGTTGTCTCTAATTTTAAATGGAAAGAGCACAGTCAAAGCCTTAGTTTGTTCATATTAAGAGATTTATTTTATTTGTGTAACTTACTTGTTTGATTTGGGGTTTGTTTTAAAATTTCAATTGAGTTTTGTTATATTTCAATTTCACAAAGAAACGTGCAGCAATAGCCTAATAAAACGACACCTTTTCATTTACTGTATAATGTCTTCAATCTCATTTTGTAAAAAAAAATCGTGATAAAACTGAATCGTGAAATCAAAATTCAGAGCTACATGGCTATCTATCTGTTCATAGAATTTCTTACCTGTTAGGTAATATTATATAAATAAAAAAATTATAATAATAAATGTAAATAATAATAATAATAATAATAAATTGCTGGGTCAAGTTTTAAGCCTTTCCAATCTCTGAGTTCTCCCACATCTGAAAAGCCAAGCCAATATTGATTCAAGTTTTATTATGAACTCCGTTGCTTCCTCTTTGCTTGTTTATTTATTTATTTTTTTATCTTTAATTTTTTACACACGTTTAAGGACCATTCACATGAAAAACGTTAATTATTGATAACGATATAGTTCTACAATTCGTTCGGAATTTAAAAGAATACGTAATGTGAAATGTATACATTTATACAGTTTTTACAAATGAGGATGTCCACAAAAGGTTTTGTCAGATTTAGCTCACTTCTGGTTACAAATTTGTTTCCAATATGGTTAAGTAGGTGCACACACACAAACGTTTGTTTTTGTGAATTGTGGGGACATTCCATAAGCGTATAGGTTTTTATACTGTACAAACTGTATGTGCTATTGCCCTACACCAACCCTACACCTAACCCTACCTCTTACAGGAAACTTTGCGTACTTTTACTTTCTCAAAAAAACTCACTCTGTATGATTTATAAGCGTTTTGAAAAATGGGGACATGGGGAAAAGTCCTCATACGTATGTCACCTTCTCGTTGTAATACCTTTCATACCCATGTCATTATACAAAATTTGTGTCCTCATGTGTCACAAAAACGCGCGCGCGCACACACACCACACACACACACACACCCACACACACATAGAGATGCACAGTAAATTAAAAGTAATAGGTTGTAATCACACAGATAATATCTAAAATATATTGAAAGCACAGAAAATAAGAATTTCAACATACCTTGACTTCGCAAAATGCACTTTATACTCTGTTTAGTATGTTTTTGAATGTCATAAGTTTGTTTCAAATTTCCATATCTAATTTCTTATCCTTATCTTTTTTCTTTTCTCTGTCTCTGTTGCAGCAAATGGCATACCAGGCTATCCTTGCTGGAAACAGTACCTTGCACAGCCTAATGTTCTCTCCCTTTCAAGATCCGTTCTTCCTGGTGGAGACCATATGCATCTGCTGGTTCTCGTTTGAGCTAGTGATGCGTTTCACCTGCTCTCCCAGTAAGATGTCCTTCTTCAAGGATGTGATGAACATCATAGACTTCTTCGCAATCATTCCCTACTTCGTCACGCTCGGCACGGAGCTGGCCAAGTCTAAGGGAGCGACACCGTCCATGTCCCTGGCGATCATAAGGGTCATCCGTCTTGTTCGGGTTTTCCGGATCTTCAAGCTGTCTCGCCACTCCAAAGGCCTTCAGATCCTGGGCCAGACGCTGAAGGCCAGCTTGAGAGAGCTGGCGCTGCTCATCTTCTTCCTCTTCATTGGAGTCATCCTGTTCTCCTCGGCCGTGTACTTTGCTGAGGTGGACAACCCTGGAACGGCCTTCACCAGTATCCCAGAAGCCTTCTGGTGGGCTGTGGTCTCAATGACGACAGTGGGGTACGGCGACATGTACCCGGAGACGGTGGGCGGAAAGCTGGTGGGCTCCATGTGCGCCATCGCCGGCGTGCTCACCATCTCGCTTCCCGTTCCCGTCATCGTTTCCAACTTCAGCTACTTCTACCACCGTGAAACAGAGTGTGAGGACAACCAGGAATACACACACGTCAGCACTTCCCTTTGGGAGGAGGAAGAAGATGGGGAAGAAGGAGAAGATGCTGAGGAAGGGCCTGGGGAACAGGGAGACCGCGTTCCTCTCGAAGCAGGCGCGGTCTATAGGGGGATCTGCGCCCCTCTGAATGGAAGTCTCCTGGCTGGGCTTTGTGCAGGTCAGACCGGAGTGCAAAGTGTAGGGAGCGTTTACCCGCTGGTCACCCAAGTCTAATAGACTGAAGATCAAAGAAGAGGAATGAGAGATGGAGGTGGTCCTGTGCCATGTTTAAAGGACACTGCCTCGCTGTGACTCACTGAATGTGTGGGGATGATGGGAAGGAATAAATGCAAGAAACAGAAAACGATTGACGAAGAGGCTGAGAAGGTACAAAATGCAGATGCAGTATCTAAAGGAAAGGTATGAAGAAGTTACAAAAAACATTGTCTTTCTAACTATAAAACATCTATAAAATGTTTCCTAACGTTCCGGTAACCAAACTTTTATTTTGACATCACAACCTTAAACCTTGAAGTCACCATGAAATCAAAATTGAAAATTGTTATTTTTTAATGGAATACTGTAGTGTTTATTATAAATAATTTATCCATGCACTTCATTATTTTTTTAAAATTCATGTGCCCTCGTAATCTTTAATCAAAAAACGTTAACCTCCCCTCCCCCTCAAAACGACTCGTCTTCTCTTCCGGTCAGGAGCTATGGCGCAAGGGCGGAGCTAGTGACGTGAGATGCTTCCCTTTATAGCACTGACACCAGTCATGAGGGAGTATGTTACCCCTAAACATTGAAAAGATATTATGATATTACGACAACATTACTCTTAGGACATCGCAAACTATTTTTTTTCATGAATATGACTTAACCTGATGGAGGACTCGCTCAGTCTCTCTCTCTCTCTCTCTCTTTCTCTCTCTCTCACGCACGCTGTTTAGGCATGTTTTGTTCCGTTGATCGTCGTCATCATCCTTAATAAATAAAACATTTATTCATGCTTGGGTGTCTGCTGTGAATCCAGTGGAGAGAAATCCCCCAACAACACTAACTGCAAACTGGCATTCAGATCTGCCTCCATTTTGTTAGCAACGCCCCAGCTTCCAACAATCCAATCAATTCCCGAAGGACGAAATCAAGTCCCGCTCTCTCATTTCAGATGCTGTTTCACTCGGAAATACATCACAGTAGAGAAGAAAAGACAATCGCAACTTCCGTTTCATGCCACTTTAAATCATTGAATGTATTTATTTGTGAAACAATTTTTTATCTATTCAGAGAGCGCCATCTCAATGCATTTGGAAAAAAGAGCTGAGCTGTGTTGTGCAATAAAAGCATTCGCACCTTTGCTTACTGGAATTGTCGACATATATATCAGACTTATTTGTAGGAAGAAGAGCCACGCGGTGTCATTTAAATGTCATGTATTTTGTCACCCGGGTTGCAGCCATGAATGTGTCAGGGATTTGTGTGCAATGAATGGATAAAGTCTTAAGCATCATTCATCTGGAACAGTTTTGTGTTACTGCTGTTCTGACATTGTTGAAACGCTGTGAATGAATGATGTGTGTTTGTGTGTGTGTGTGTATTCAAAAGCTTTTTAGGAAAATATGTACAGTAATACATAATGTGTGTATGCTCTATGAATTGTATAACGCTGAGCCATGTTTGTGTACTATTTATTAAAATTTTTAATCACACAAAAACCATACTGAAATGATGCAGTGGTCTACAAAACGAACAAACTGAAAGTGGAATCTTCTCCAGCTGATATCTCATGTCATTTAAAGAGTAATATTTAAATGAATAATTGTATGATGTTTCATATAACAATATTTAAGTTACTTAAATTAATTTAAATAATTTTGGACCATAACAAATAAATAAATAAGTTCAAATAAATACAGTTTCGGGCAAAAAAAATACAGTAACAAAACATTTTAAATCTTGCAGTCCAGTGATAATGTAAAGCATGCCTCCATAACCGATGTTCTCCATCCTCATTTCTTAGTATGCAGACTGGGACTGAAGATAGTCTGTATGTGTGACTGATGTCCTATTCCTAGTGGGTCGTCAGAGTCCAGGTTTATGTCCTTAATATAATGTTTCACATCCTGTATCTGGATGTCCTCTTCTTTCCCCGCCAACTGAGTATTCATAACGGGGAGGAACCGAGAACGTGTGGCACTGTGTTTCTGCCCAGACTGCTTTGAGAGCAGCGACACAGGAAGCTTAGAGTGTGGAGAAAGGAAAGAAGAATATCCATCCTCCAGTAGCAATTCCTGAAAGGTGCAGTCTCCTTCAGAGTAATGCAGCTGAAAAAGAAAACAAAACTCAGTACCAAGGTTGCATTTATTTGATCAATATGTTATATCAATATTTTATATATAATTTTAAAATGTCATTTGTTTCTGTGATGGGAAAGCTGAATTTTCAGTATCTGATTATGATGATCAATTTTGAAAACAGCATAATTTTTTGTAAAAACCATGATACATTTTTTTCAGGATTCTTTGATGAATTAAAAAAAAACATTTATTTGAAATATTTTTTTTGGTCTCATCATAAATGTCACTTTTGATCAATTTCATGCCTCACTGCTAAATAAAAGTATTAATTTCTTTAAAAAACTATTACCTTAACTATTTAAGGTATGAATAATTAGCTTAACTATTTTTTAATAAAATTATATATTATAAAATCGTATATTTTGCTTGTACAATTTGCTTTTAAATGGAAAAATCCATGTTATGTATACACTGCTCTCGCTCTCTGCTATACTAGAATGGTGTCTTTTTACCTATTTGTCTTTTTTTTCAGTTTTATAAAGTTTTTTATTTATTTTTAAATGAACATAATCTATTGGATATTTCAAATTTGTAAACGTTAGTATGTTCAGACCTGTCCTTTCAAGTTGTCTTCATCATCAACGCAGAGGAAGAGAGATGTAGCCTCACTCTGGATGACCGTCTCACCCGCTTTCACTGAACGCAGTTTCAGCACACCTGCAGAGCAGCAAACAACACCACACTTCCGTCAGCACCGTGATAATTCACACCAAAATGACAACAATTATTGTTATTATTTCCATAACCCTTGCTTTCACAGTTATTATGAATCATTATATTTTCTGATAAGGTATTCTGAGAAGTAAGGCTATAATGATGGTTACATGATTACAATAGTACTCTAACAGTAAACTGTGTTCTTTAACTCTTGTTTTCAGCAGTTGCTTACAGTTGCGCTTCTTTACTGGAGACCCTCTGACGGAGCCATCAGGTTTCATTTCAAGGAACATCCCATGCTTTCTGTTCTCTAAAATGGACAAAAACACACACACAGACACATGAACACACTTATTGCCATTACCTCAAGCCAGTCTTTGCTCTTTAGGAATAAAAAACACGGTACACTTGCAGTGCCAAATAAATGCCCTGAAATAAAAGGCATAAAGTTTCATTGTAACATCACCGGGCCAACTAAAAAGGATTGACTGATTCCAGATAGCCATGTTGATGGAAGAAAGTACCACATGTCACAGTTACCCATAAGCGGATTCTAACATCTAAACACTGCAGCTCAAAAAAAGCAGCAACTATTGAAATAGGTTAAAGGTTAAGATTACCTGTGTAGAGCAAGCGTTCCCTGACTTGTGTGCTGAACGGCAGAAGCACGTTCTGTACAGGAACATACATACACCAATGAAGAGGAGGAAACAGAGCAAAAAAAAAGAAAAAACAGGTAGAAAGCATGATTGACCGAACCAACCAGGTGGGCATCAATACAAACGGATGGTATCCAAAAGTAAAAATATCCTCAAAAATAAAACACTCTAATAATAAACCTTAAAACGGACTTAAAATGTAAATGATATATAAAAACTAAGAGGATAACTCCAATTTGTGCAAAAACAAAACAAAACATAAAAAAACTGAGTAGCGATATCTCCAAGACCTCCAGATGCTAAGATGGTCTACACAGAAGACATGTCCCATATTTATATGGTACGCATGAGAGAGTGACAGAGAATCCATGAGTCACTCCAGTACGAAAAGGAAAAATGATAACAAACTTGTTTTCAGGAAATGAAGGAGGATAAACTGATGGTAAATCTCACATGGCTATGCCAGTCATGCCATTGAGCTCAGAGGACAGGGAACCCCTGACTTCTGGATCGAGAGGAGAACATACAGTATATTAGTTTGCGTATTGCAGATTAATAATCACTGCTTATTTAATATAAAGTGTTTAATTTATTTCCCAGTATTGAGAGGAAATGGGAGTGGAGGTGGCAGTATAAACAGAACAGAGGCCATAAAAAAGCACTCAAAGGGGGTTTCGTGCTCATCTGTGCATTCTCACCTAGGAGACGACAGGATGTGAGGACACTACCGTCCCGTCAGCTAGAGAGGGCAGTGTGGCATCAAGTTAGGATCTAAACTTTTTTAATGAAAAAGTGTGCATGTCTTATCTTAACAAAAGTTAGCACAAACATGCTAACCCGGTCTCTCAGTCTTTGTTTGATCTCTGTAAATGATTAAAGACTGAGGTGTAATTGGACAGCTGGACTCCATCAAGTGTTGACCGATGTCTTTTATCATAGAATCCGAGTCCCTGAAAAAATCACATCCTTTTCCCCAATTGCCATTTTGCCCTTTCATCCTAATACAACTCCTTTAAGCGTTCCCATTCCGTCTCTGTGACGTACAGGGTCCCCACAATAACGTCAGTGTCCCTTGTAATCATCTGTCTCCCGCCTCACTGTTGTCCTGGGAAGAATGAGGAGGATTGATGTCTTTCTGGCCATCTGCTGCACTCTCCCTCACTCTTCTTTGAGCGGATTAAGTGTTTTGATGTCTTTGTCTCATCATTGTGTGAGGAAATTTTGACTCCGTGTGCATGAAGGGATTTCGTTCACCCACCGGTCTTAATACGAGAGCGAGACGGGATTTAAACGTGCCTCGTGTTGACATCGACTCTTACACAAGAAGCATTAAAGGACAAACCACTCAATAAGTGAAATAAATTGTTAAGATTTTATTATGCACACCATAGACAGCAGCTGATTTCATGGGAAATGAATTAAAGTCTTTCAGACTTTTTTTTAAATACACGAGTCAGACAAAATACATCATGAATAACAAGCTACATTTTACTAGTTCAAGTGCAACACTAGACAATAAAGATGCTCCATAATAGCAAATGACAACAATATTAACATCCAAGTAATTCTAGAATTGTAAAGGAAAGAAAAAAATCGCTTTTTTATGGGGTTGTTCTTTTTATAGCTTAAGAGAGAGTTTTTAGAACTGTCTCAGAAATACTAATGCAAACAAATGAGATGATTGTTGATGTAAGATTACAGAGCTAGAATATTCATTGCTTATGATTTGGGAAGGATTTGATGAGGAATTTGAGAGTTCATACTGAAAACTGAGACGAAAAAATAAGGCTTTTTTCCCCCTGACTTCTGCAAAAGTATCTATTTGCTCTTCATTTTATTTCAAAGGAGAAACTATTAAGATATTAATATTTTCTGTTTTATTGTATAAACACTACCATTCAAACGTTTGGGGTTGGTAAGATTTTGAATATTTTCTAAGTCTCTAATGCTCACCAAGGCTGTATTTATTTGATCAAAAATACAGTAAAAACAGTAATGTTGGGAAATATTATTACATCAGTCATTACTCCAGTCTTCAGTGTCACATGATCCTTCAGAAATCATTCTAATATGCCGATTTGCTGCTCAAGAAACATGTATTATTATTATTATTAATGTTTAAAACGGTTGTGGCGCTTAGTATTTTTGTGGAAACGTAATATGTAAAATATGTAAAATGTCATTTCAGGATTCTTCGATGAATAGAAAGTTCTGTCACAGAAATCTTTTGTAACACGATGAATGACTTTACAGTCACTTTTGATCAATTTAACCCTTTAACTGTCACCCGTCCCCTCTGTGGGACGCCTAAGTTTACTTCACTATATTACAATTAAATCCTAATCTAATCATGACAAACTATATATCGTTGGAAAGGTCGAAGACTCCTAAATAGATATTTTACCAATGTTTTTGTTAAAAAATTATGTAGGAAAATAGATTAATTTTTGGCAAGAGTGCACCTCAAAAATCTACATCATAACAGTAGTTCTGAACTTTGTCAAAAAAAGTCTTCTTTGTTGCCTTTTTCTCTATCACACTTTAGAAATCATCAGAAATTATATATCAATTGAAAACTTTAAATCTCAAAATTCATCCTTTGAAACCCATTTTTTAAATCAAACATTGCATTATCATGAAAATGGTACATCAATATCATGTTACAAAATGTTTACGTTCATGAATTATAAAAATGTAAGTTTGGATCGTGCACTTTCACGTCTATGTTCAAAAATGTGAGCGACAGTTAAGGGGTCAATGCATCGTTGCTGAATAAAATATGAATTTCTTTAAAAAAGTGACTGACCTCCAAATGTAACTATTATAATCTAATACTATTATAATTTGTAATTTTACAGTAATTAATAATTTAATAATTAAATAATCTTTATTTAAAAGAATTCTTTGGCAATATGTTGTAAAGTAAGAAAAATTATTTTGATTAAAAAATATCTAATTTGTGGAAACAGGCTGGATGTGAGTGAGAACTACACTGTCATTCATACAGTATGAGAGTGGACAACCTGTGTGTTGTACTAAAGTAAAGTACTACGTCAGGTTTGTGTAACTGCGCTTGTCACACCCCGATGTCACACCCACTAATCTAAACAGTGTATTGGTAAATCTGTACATGCAAATTATGTTTTCGGTGTATGATTCACATTTTTAAGACACGCGGATAGGGAAAGAACATGAGGGGTACGGGAAGAAACTGCCTCATATTACTCACAGCTGCTTGTGACGTCCTCGCCACCATCGCAAGAAAAACCCAACAAATCATAGGACAGGAGATTTGGAACAACTTTGGACTGTTTATAGGAACCAACTGCTTCGACTCATTTGAAATGCCTGTTTATGTTGCACTGGCAACTGAACAGAGGACATCTCAACTATAAAAGTAAACTAAGGCAGCTCAAATGAGTCAAGGCTATATCTTTTCCCTGAACCATTGAGTAAGTCTGGGTTTTACAGTGCAGTACAGTGACATCCAGTGTTATAACCAGTGTCCCAGTAGCCTAGATAAATTATATGATAGGAAAGTCAACAAATAAATAAAATCGAGACTGGCAGAGCATGTGCAATACATGCTCAAAACCATTCATCCGGTTTATTACTGAAATGCTGTAAAAGCAAATTAGCTATAAGTTACAAACAGTTACTGTTGCTAGACTGTAAAGCTGATACTAAGAAACATAGTGAAGCCCAGTGAACACTCCTTTCACATATGTCAAGTTTCTCAATGCAAAACAAACACACAACACACCAAGGTACTCAAAGTCTTTGCCAAACAACAAAAAAGGCCAGCTTTCATCGAGAAAGGTGGGTTCTGAAATACAGAAGAAGTATTGTGAAAATGTGGTAAAGCTTTGTCTGTTTTGTTCAGGGCAGGTCACAAGGTGGGATGGCGTGGTGTCTGTCGTACGTCGTGTCGTCACTTTCTTCTCCGTCGCTCGCCTCGTCCATCATTCTTTCTTTCTCCTCATCCTCCTCAGTCTCGCTCCCTTTATCCCGTTCCCGTTCCTGCAGTCTCTCTCTTTCCCGGTTTCTGCTTCTCTCTCGGAAACCTCTGGGAAGAGTGGTAATCTGCGGGATGTGAAGTGACGGGTGTCAAGGACTTTTAACAGCATATCCACAACAAAAACATCTCAGTATAAGAACATCGGAATTAGACTGAAATGCATAGTTTACTCACCCTCATGTCATTACAATGTCATTTTACAGGAAAAGATATTGCAGTAAATATGCTACAGTAAAACATGTTTTTAACTATAAGTTAACACATACAGTGAAAAACGATTGTGGTGAAATTACTATCAAACTTATGGTTGCAAGTAAAATGATGAATTACTGGATAATTTACAGTGTAAAACAGTAAAAGGACATTCCCAGTCTCATTCCCAGATTTGTTTTATTACTCTGATGGTGTTTTGTCTTTTAACAATATATCATTTAATTAAACGCACAAGTATAATTAGCCAAATATACATACACCAAAATGCCATCTTGTAATAACTGAAACACTTTTCTGGAAACCACAGCTACCATTTTTTTTAATCACAAATTTAAAAGCATATTTGATTAATCAGTCCAATTTGTGAACAAATCATTCAGATCGGTTTTGTGAACTTGATATAACACATCATTGACAAGATCGGACTCAAAACATCTGTTCACAGATCGGACAGTGTAACTCTACTAAACACGTCAAGAAGCTTAACAGTGAATAATGACTTAGATCTCCATCTGTTTCTTGCAAAAAACAACTGTAGTCTTGTATTAAGACTTCGCAATATAGTAGCCCACAAGCTGTATGGATCAGTTCTGTGGTATATGGAAAAGAAAAAGAGTGACTTTTGCATTCCACAGAAGAAAGAAAGTCATGCAGGTTTAGAACGACATGAAGAGGAGTAAATGATGACTTTTAATGGTGACATTTTAGGTGATCGATGTATTTAAGACCTAAAACCTAAGCATTATATTTATATTTTATGAATGAAGCCTCACCTGGTTGTCATGAGTGGGCAGGGCGCAGTATCCAGGCTCCGTCCTGCATAAAAGACGAGGGGAATGTGTTCGGAAAGGCCTCGGGGAGTGAGAGCACACGGAGCGAGGGGAGGGTGAGCGGATGGAGTGAGGTGACGGAGAGCGGATGGAACGGGGCGAGTGCGGGATAGAGTGCGATTGAGACTGTGAAGGGGTCAGAGACGGGGCGTGATGGTTGAGCTTTGGGGGCCGCGGGGAACGAGGGGGCAGTTCGGGCGGTTTGAGAGGGTCTATGAGGTCTATTTCAGTGAGGAGAGGTGGAGGGGGGACAAACACCTCGTCTGATAGAGGGATGTCCCCGTCGATCACGGCAAGCTCTGCCCGTGATAGGTGGTCCACAATGCCTGCCCCGAAAGAGTCGCCTACGACGTTAATGGAGGTGCGCATTCTGTCACTGAAGACACACAAAAGACAGCTCTAAAAGCTGACACAAAACAGCTCAGGACAGCTGTTTATATTCATGAGGACAGTTGATAATTAGTCAGGACAAAACCAGGGCCGTCTTCAGGGGGTTGTAAGCGACGGCCCGTACATAACCCAAACAGAGTTGTTTGAACTCACAGAAGCCAATCGACAGCAACGAGCAGGCTGATGTCTTGAGTTGGAAGGCCCACAGCGGTCAGGATTAGCAACATGGTGACCAGACCCGCACTGGGAATACTGGCCGCTCCCACACTGGCCAAAGTCGCTGTCATACTGCAGAGAAAGAAAGAGAGGGGGTTATACCACCATGACTGAGACAGTATGGGGCGGCACTGACAGATGTGATCTATTGAGGGGGTGGGTGAAAAAAAAAAACAAGTTCAATGGAGGAAAGAAGGAAAATAAGAACAAAAGTAAAATGTAAAAGAATTGGAAGAAGATGCTAGCTCAGTTAAAGGAGGAACATCTGTGATGTAGCTGCAGGTTAAAGTTTTGTTTTGGAACTGTATTACAATTACAGAGCCATAGTAATAAAAAGCAATTTGAATAACTGTAATAATAACCAGATTGTTATGCCACAACACAAAGGATCATAAGACCAAACACATGATGTGTGTGAGAACTAGCAGGCAAATGTTTAAAAGAGACAACAAATGTCATTTTAAAAATGGATTATACAGAATCAATTCTTATCTGAACAAATAAATAAAATAAAATAAAAAATACAAATTTGCAGTCATTGTTCATCTAGTAAATATGGAAAATGACATCAGAGCAAACCAAAAAGCCCATTAGAAATAATTCCCTCCACTGCAGAAGCCACAATTTGTCTGGTTTCAGTTTCACATCTCCTTACCTAACAGTAACAATCTGTCCTCCATCTAGGGAAATGTCATTCATCTGAGCGATGAAAATGGCTGCTACAGCCTCATAGAGTGCAGTGCCATCCATGTTTATGGTGGCTCCAATGGGCAGCACAAAGCGAGTCACACGCTTGTCAATCTTTAGATTCTCCTCCAGACAACGAAACGTCACTGGCAATGTCCCAGCACTGAAAAAGAGAACGTTAAATTGATTATAATTATCTAACAAATGCTAATTTGTTGTTTGAAAAATTGCTCCGACTAAACATGAATCCAAAATAACGCCCAAAAACTAATTATTTAAAAAAAGTTGACAGGATTGCATGCATATTCTGTGCCAAACTGACAGTTGGTTTGACATTCAGAAAATGGTTTGGCGCAACAGATGTAAACCCAGATTTATTCATAATTTCCCATCCATTTAGACTGATTAATCTTTCTAGAGCTCTATTCTGGAGAACATCAGAAAGTGTGTTTGGCCAGATTAAGTAGTGTGGATGATTTATGTGGGGTCTAAAATATAAATCATCTGATGTGTGTTGTTTTTTTTAAGTCATGTTGGAGTTTATATTAAAACATCCACATACCAGTTTAAAATATAATTTTTCAAAATAAAAAAATGTAAAAGAGAGAAAAACTGAGAAAGATCTTGCTTCTCAAGACAACACTGTTTAACCAAAAGTGACGTTTAAATCTTCAGTCTGCCAGAACACTTAAATTAGCATATCACCATGAAACACGTGAGGAGTCTGCTGTCTGTACCTGCTGGCCGTTCCCAGAGCAGTGATCCAAGCCTGGAAGATACCAGAGTAAAACGTGAAGGGGTTTTTCCGAGTCACGGCGAAGAATATGACTGGCAGGATGAGCCCGCCATGAATGATGAGACCGACTATGACCGTGACCATGTACATGCCGAGCTGCCTCGCCACCACTTCCAAGTCACCGATAGCAGCAATTTTCCCACAGATGAGGGAGGCAATGCCTACTGGAGAGTACCTGAGGACAGATTTGTTGAGTTATTTAGTGGTTAGTTTAGCTCTGTTTAGAGTACATGTCAAGTGTTTTTTTGTAATGTAGGGTTGCTGAGCCATAATAATTGTTCTCTAATTTTGTTTATCAAACATTAACAGTATAAAATAAAAACTAACTTTAGTACAGTTTTTTGACAAACTCAATCAATCAATCAATCAATCAATCAGTTTGTATTTGTGGCAATTAAACAAAATTAAATAAAAAATATGAATAAAATAAAATCAAATTTGTATGTGTCTTGGCAAATGTGGTTTTGGAAAATTTTTTATTTTGAAAAGTATTATACAAATATGAATTGGAAATCTGAAAATGTTTATTTTTATATTTATTAGAACTTTAATGTATTAATATATGTATGTGTGTGTGTGTGTGTGTGTGTGTATACACTTCTTCTTTTATCTTTAGTACAAAGGCACAGTTATTTATTTTACATGTTTTTTTTATAATCTCACTTTTTTATTCACACAGTATGTCTTTATTCATATATATCTGCCTTTATATTTTCAGAAGGGAGTATTGGCCCAGTTTCGCAACCTGAACACCATATGAGAAGATGTTACTTCTTATGTGGTCTGAATTTAAATCATCTAAAATGCTGGGTATAAATATTGCACCGTGTGTTATGGTAAGCAACAGATGATGTTTATTGTACCATTTGAACAGTTTACATACTGTGAACGGAAAACACAGAACACAGTTAGTTACAGATGGGACAGTCTCAGGGCTGAGCGGAGACTGACTTTGTTGTCATATGCTTTTATTTTGGGGTATTTACTTATTCCGTGTTTGTTCTTTTAATGTTCAAAATGTATTAGAATATGAAACCGACATGTTCCTTCCCACCGTCTCACTCCTTTTGTGCTGTAAAATGGCCTGTTAGCATTACAGATCAAGTGTTTCATTTCTGCAGATATGATTCATACCCCAGTTTATGGCCATTTTACACACATTTTGCAGAAAAAAAAAATAGTATTTTGAATCATTCTGTTATAACATAGTTGAGAATCATCTTTATACAAAGTTTGATTAAAAAAAAATCTTGAAAACTAAAAATATATTGGTGATTTAAAAAATCAATTGTTTTTGCCTATGCATGTTCAGTCATGTCTTTTTATTTTTTTAAAGAAATTGAGTCCCAATGTCCTCTACCGAGGACATAGCATAACTTATGAATGAAATATCTTTTTTTAATATATATATATTTTTACATTATTTTTAATGCTCTAAACAATGTAAAGACATGGAAAAAAAACTAACTTTTTCCTAAAACTTTTTTCTCGGGTCTTAAGAGGTTAAATTAATTTAAAAAGGCGTGAACGTCACAAATGTTTCACAGTGTGCTGAGTGAAGCCTGAAGTCCAGCATTTTCATTTTATATTAGAAAAAAATCTAAGGAAAAATATTTCCTTGAGGTAGGTGTCTGGGAGTTTTGGAGATGGCACAGAATGAGCAGCTCTTGACAAATTGGGAGACCTCCCGGGCCATGTTGGGCCACCAGTAGCAATTTTGGAGGAGTGAGAGGGTTTGCTGGCTGTCCAGAGCCCGGAGATGAATGAATGAGTGTTCAGTCATGACAGTGTCGCCGCTCCTCTAGTGCTAGCTTGATGGCTAGAAGTTCTCTGTTGCCGATGTCATAATTCTTCTCCGCCAGGGACAGCTTTTTGGAATAGAAGGCACATGGATGGAGGATGGGAGGCTATCTGTGATATTGAGATAATACCACTCCTTCCCCTACTGTTGAAGTATCCACCTCCACGACGAATGGGAGTTGGGGATCCGGGTGTGCGAGGGTAGGAGCGGTACAAAATGCCTCTTTGAGCTGGTGGAAAGCGTCAATGGCAACAGGCGTCCAGGACAGAGACTTGGGCTTACTCCTGAGTAGCGAGGTGATTGGTGCACAGACTTGGCTGAAATTGGAAATGAACCGGCGATCGAAGTTGACAAAGCCCAGGAATCGTTGAAGTTCTTTGATGGTGCTTGGTTGCGGCCATTCCTTGATGACTTGTACCTTCCTCTGGTCCATGTGAATTCCATGATGGTCGATGACGTATCCCATGAACTGGATAGAGTAATGGTGAACCTCGAACTTCTCCAGTTTGAGATAGAGGTGGTGCTCTCTCAGCTTCCAAAGGACCTGCTTCACGTGGTGGTGATGTTCAGCTGATGTACACCATGACAAAGTGCTGGAGGTAATCCCAGAACACCTCATTCATGAATCCTTGGAAGACCGAGGGTGAGTTGGAGAGGCCGTAAGGCATTACCTGATATTCGTAGTGGCCATATGTTGTCACGAATGCCGTCTTCCATTCATCATCCTCCCGGATCCGAATGAGGTTGTAAGCTCTATGCAGGTCCAGCTTAGAGAAGATGTGAGCTCCACGCAGCCGTTCCAGGGTGGCCGGGACCAGAGGAAGTGGATAACAATACTTGACCGTTTAGGAGTTAAGGACCAGGTAGTCTATGCATGGCCGCAAGCCTCCATCCTTTTTTACCGACGAAGAAGCTTGATGCCACGTTTAATCAATATTGACTACAGATCTTGTCATATTATTAATATTAATATTATAATATTATGTATTGCATTATCTTAAATATGCACTATATACACAAATCATGTGGAAGTAAAAGAAACAATCACTACTAAGCAGAAAAGAAGTTCATTTCTAGATAGTTGAAACTGAAATGAAGTATGTTAGAGCAGTAATGTAATCATCAGCAGAATTTAGAAGATTCACACATCTGAGGTCCTTTTTTGAAACATTAAGTGTGTGAATGCTTTTTGACTTTGAATACAAACTTATTTGCCTTTTGTAGCTATTTTGCTAATCAGCTCCTGATGGGATATCTTTCATTGCACGTGCAAATTCAATGCGGTGCGTCTGGGTGCGTCAACGGCACTCACTCTCGTTTAAACTCGTAATAAACCGGTGAATAATATGTCCAGAAAGTTTATATTTAGAATACATTGCAATCACTCCAAAATAGATGACAACAACTCACACACCTGCATTAGGAGCTGTACTTCTTTACATGCCTATTTAGCCGTTTACTTCGCAGCACCTGAAGGATGTGTTCGTTACAGCAAACATTCAGAAGGCGGGACCCGCTTTGAAATGGCAACATTAATTGGTTTAATTGCAGGTAATCAACAATACTACCAATGGCTCAAGCCTCCGTTACCTGGTCTAAAATGACATTTTGGAATTAGCAACGGAGGCGTGGGATGAGATGTGTAAGAAATTAATCCCACCTTCAAGAGTGTTTTAAGGACAAAAACCTGACGAGTGTCTTGAAATACAACATCTCAACAATGTCTTGAGGTGTGGTAACTGTAGTATATGTGGAATAATTTACTACGGTCTGTTAAATTATTAGAAACCTCGGGTATGCATTATTTTCTAATAATTCAAAGGGCCATCATCAATTATTCCTGGAAACCTACTGTGTGTGTGTGTGTGTGTGTCAGATTATAATTTCTTTACTGTGTATTGTTTACTATGAAAATATATTGATGTCTTTTAAATTACATATCACATATTACTGAAGCTAAAAATGGTCAAATTTAATTTTCAATTCCAAAGCAAATTTTAATTTTCAACAAAACTTTTTGATTAGTCTTCACTTAACAGCTTTGACTGCTAACTTAACATAGTTTTAACTGGTAAAGTTATTTAATTATCCAGAACTAGAAAAATCACAAAAAAAGTGATCTTTGTTTTAAGTCAAGCATTGAGGAAACAATGCTTGTGCATAGCACGGACAGAAGCAGATTATAGCCATTAAGATAAATGGAAATGCTAATGAATTGCTTTTTTTCCAGGACTAACAAACTTCCTTGGCCATGCCCTGCTTCTAAAAATTGCTCTGGACGGACTTCCGGTAAGATGGCGGAGTGAGAAGTCGCAAAGTTTCTGCCCTTGAGTATTACTTTTGCTTATATTCATCATTTCTAGCACGTCCGGGGCATCTGGCATTATAGCACGAGGTTAATCAGATTTGAATAAAGTCCATTAGTAACCTAGTATGCCGAGAACCAATACGAAGAAGGCCGCAGAAACTGCGGAAGAAAACGCGCAGGTAACAGACATGGCTGCTTCGGCACAGGGTGATGATATCCGCAAACTTCTCGGGGGTATCAGATCAGAGGTCACGGCGCTCAGAACAGAGATTCTCTCGGAGCTGAAATCTTCCATTTCTGCTGTGAAAACATCGCTGCAGGTGCAGGAAGGAAAGATAAAGGATGTTGAAGCATCACTTACCGATGTAGATGGTCGCGTTACCTCCTTGGAAACCATGTGCGCTGCTTTGTCGAAGGACAACGAACGGATGAGGGCTAAACTCGACGATTTAGAAAACTGTTCGAGGAGAAATAATGTCAGAATAATAGGCATTCCCGAGCACTCCGAGGGCACACACCCGACCACATTTATGGAGGAACTCCTACTTGAAGTCTTTGGTAAGGAGAGCTTCGCCAAACCCCCGGTGGTAGACAGAGCACATCGTTCCCTGGCCCCCCCACCGAGACCAAACCAGGCCCCGAGACCATTTATCGTCCGACTGCATCACTATCAGAAGAGGGAATTCATTCTTCAACTCACGCAGGAAAAGGGACAGCTTCTATACAAGGGTTCTCGGATCCATTTCTATCCAGATGTAAGTGTGGAGGTCGCCAAACGAAGAGCTGCTTTCAACCCGATTAAAGCGCAGCTTAGGAAGGGCGGTATCGAGTTCGGCCTTTTTTTCCCCGCATGCTTGCGAATAACCCACAACGGTATGAGGCATTTCTTTGATTCGGCTCAACAAGCTACCGAGTTTATTCAGGGTGTTTTGTCACACACAGTGGACAAGTAGTGCTTATTATGTAATGCTAAACAAATTCATTGTTGACAGTTCAGTGGACATATTCAAATCCATCTTTGTCTGAACGGTACTCATTTGCAGTTCCGCGATGGTGGACGGTCAGCTCTGTGAACGATACATTTGGTGACTCTGTTCAGGACTATATATGTTAATATTGTTCTATATCTTTGCCCATGTGTCAAGATGATAACATGCAATTAATATTGGTTGTATACTGAATGCGCCACCGGGCGTAATTGTTAATTGCTAGTCAATACTGCTTTGTCAGTTTCAGTTCAACAGAGCAGGAATAACTGGTAAGTGATGACACGCTGTAAACCAGTGGATGTTTGGTTTTTGATGGTTATTGTATGGGTTTTGAAATGGGGGAGGGTTGGGTTTGTGTGCGGCATGTTTTATCAATCAGCATTCAATAAGCACCGGTTCACCTTAGCAAACACCTGTCAGGGTTCTGTCACTTCGGTCTAGTGTAATTCATAGTTTTGTGACAGAGCCCTGACACTCGCGTCATGTCATTGTTTTCATGTGAGCGTGCGGCTTCGAGTGTGCTTGAGCCGTGTGCTCTCATCTGCGTGTACTGTTTCATGTTGGGGCGTGGCGTTCAGATCCCGGCACTCATGTCTTGAGTTTCGGTTACGTGTCGGGGTCCAGACACTCGCGCTCCATGTTCTGTCTGTTGTGGGAGCGTGCGGTCTCGAGTTCGCTCGGCCGTGCGCTCTTCTGTCCACGTGTGTTGTGTTTTGTGAAGCACGCGGTTTGTGTTCAGCCGCGTGCTTTTTGATCATGGGGGGGGACTTTAACTGTGTTTTGGATACCTCCCTAGATAGGTCCTCAACTAGAATCATACAGCCCTCTAAATATGCCATAGTTATACAGGATTTTTGTGACCAGTATGGACTGCTTGACCCATGGAGATTTTTTTTCCTTCCTCCAAAGCATTTTCTTTTTTCTCCCCAGTACATCATTCATATAGCGTATAGATTTTTTTTTGATAGATAAAAGCCTGTTATCTTTTATTTCAGCGAGTGAATATCATAGCATTGTGATATCGGACCATGCCCCTTCTTCATTTAAGCTCAGTTTCCCCAGTAATCATTCATGTTTTAGGCCCTGGAGGTTAAACTCCCTGTTTTTATCAGATGATGAATTTGTTAAATTTCTGTCCAAAGAGATAGTCTTTTTTTTGGAGACAAATGATACACCTGATATTTCGAGAGCTACATTATGGGAGGCTCTTAAAGCTTTTTTACGAGGGAAAATTATTTCCTTCTGTTCCTACGCCAGAAAACAGGAGATCTCAAAACTCAAAGTAATTTCAGATGGCAAGCTGGATGAGGAATATGCAACAAATCCGAGTCCTAGTTTATATAAAGAAAGGCTGCGCCTCCAGACTAAATTTAACCTATTGACAACTTTGCAAGATGAGAAAAGGCTGCTGAAGACCCGCCATATGTTTTATGAATTTGGA